CTGCTGCTTGCCAGGCATCTGCACAGCCCAGCGCCCTGTGCACTGGGAGCGGCGTCTTGGGGGAGTCGTAAAACCTAGCAGGGTCCCTGGTCCCCAGAGAGCTCTGTGAGGGGAACAGGCCGTGAGGACAATGGAGAATGGAGCGGGGGTGGAGTAAGGAAACGGTTGATTTCACAGACTACATGCTCCTTGGGGAGCATGATTGGCTTTCCAAAGAGTCCTCAGGAAACTGCTTTTTGTTTCAGACCATTTTCCATCACGGGAAGCAGCTAGAGGCAGGTTGGATTCCATGTCCCTGGGATTTGGGGGGGAAATTGGTTTCCAGAGTCAAACTTCCTGGGTGGATCCAAACACCCCTTAAACTTTGGGCAAGTTCCAATCTCGACCGTGTCTAAAGCAACGTGTTCAGGAGGAGGAGGAGGAAGAAGAAAAGGTTAACCTGCGTAGAGTTACACAGCTGCCACTGGCACATTCAATATTCACCTTCTAACCTGCCTTTCCAACTCAATTATTTCTCACACACGCGGAGGGGACTGTGGAGCACTGGGTAGAAAACAGCCAACAACTCAGACTCTTATTCATCTGCCTACGACCACCTTGCCTTTTACAGTGCTGGCTTTGTTTGTAGGTGGGGCAGGGGGGGCTTGTTAATCACTGCATTCCAAACAGGGCACATGGGGGTTGGGGGAATAAGACAGAAAAAAAGATGAAAAGGAAAGTGCTAGAATTGTCACAGATTCAAATCTCCATTTTAACCATGGGCAGATTTACTGGTTAGCCTGTGTCCCTCTGAATGGCTCCAGGGTGTATAGGAACCTGTGTTTGCACAAATCAGCCACCATTTGTGGGTGTTACATCATCACCGACACCCAGGTTTCACCCAGTGCCCGCTTGCAATCTGACCCCGACCCCCCGACGGCAATTCCCACTCCCGTCGGTGAAATGGCAGAGCTCAGCTGACCTCCTGACTGCCCAGTAGCACAGCACAGGAACGACTGCTTTCTGCTCAGCTGCGCTGACCCACTCATTCTGCCCCTGTGCCGCTCTTCTCTGCGCGGTCCCCTTAACTTGCCATAGAGTCCTATGGTGAGAACAACTGGGAAGGGAAAATCCCTCTAGAAAATACTGACCCTTCCTAGAACTACTGCTCCCTCTGCCCAGGGCAAAACTCTTGGGGTTATTTGGGCATCTCTCCTGAATCCTTAGAGGGTTTCCAGAGCCCTCTTTCCATGTGAGAGGATGAGATCACTCCAAGCACTAGGAAAAGGCATCTAAAAGCATCAGCCAAAATCTGCACACCTGAGAGCCTGATGGCCGGCTCCTGCAGCCCTGTGACGGCTCCACCCGGAGAGCAGCCTGGCTTCCCAAGGCCCTGAGCAGTCTGTGCTCGGCGCCTTTGACAATCAAACCACTCTGCTGATTGAGATGTCTAACCGGGGCTTTAGGCCCCCACGTCTAAGAGCACTGGGAACGCTTCCCTGCTAAAGGAGCATTCACGTCTGTCTGTCTGCCTGAGCACAGAGCGCTGTCTGCCTGCCACGCCTGCCAGCAAAGCCTAAACGCCAGTTGCAGAGAGGGTGAATGAATGGCGGCGCGCTCCCCCTGCTCCCAGGTACAGCCTGGCAGAGCACAGCCTGCCTCCGACAGGAGCCGTTTGTCCCTGGGAGCTGAAGAGCAGCGAGACCCTTACCGTCAGCCATCTTCCCAGCGAGCCGTCCAGCGGGTGCCTTGGTCTGGGCGTGTGTACCACCGGGAAAGCACATTAATGGGGGGGCGGGGGACAAACGTCATTAAACATTAACGGCCTTAGTGTAATGTTTATCCCAGTCACAAGGTGAGGCACATGGCCCAGACCCAGGTTTTGGAAACATCAAACACCTTGAGGGGCAAAGGAAAGAACAAGCCCCTGCAACCAGCTCTCTCCAGTTCACACGGAGAGCAGGGGCTGAGCCAGATGCACCCTCAGCCTCTGTTTGAAAGGTCAATGGAGTTCAGCGAGGGGCATCTTGGCTCTGACAGCCTCAGCAGGGAGAGGGGAAGGGCTGATAACCAATTAGGGCACTTTTCATTCTCCAGGTGCTTGGCAACCTTCCTACCCAGCCCCCACAAGCTCTGCCTGCTGGGTCCTGTCATTATCTCCATGTTGCAGTGGGAAACTGAGGCACGGGGAAGGGACTTGGCCAAGGTCACCCAGTGAGTCAGAGGCAGAGCTGTGGGATTTCCTGGCTCCGGCCCTTGGCTCTGATCCCTTGATCATGTCTCTTGGCTGGCTACTGGCTAGCAACATAGGAGGGGAAGGGAAATCCTACCCCACCACCACGCTGGCAGCTTGGCCGGGAGAGAGGGGTCCCACTAAGGCCAGGCCAGAGTTCAGCATTGCTTGGCCCTTCTGCAGGCCCAGCCTCTGAGCTGCTGATGGAGCAGGCTGCCCCAGTCCCAGTCCTTCGGCGAGGATACAGGAGAACCTCAGAGTTACGAACACCAGAAAGTTACAAACTGACCAGTCAGCCACACACCTCACCTGGAACTGGAAGTACACAATCAGGCAGCAGCAGAGACCAACAACAAAAAAGGAGAAGCAAATACAGTACAGTGCTGTGTTAAACGTAAACTACTAAAAAAATAAAGGGAAAGCAGCATTTTTCTTCTGCACAGTAAAGTTTCAAAGC